TGGGTGAAGGAAGTGCAGGATCTAATCCATAAGATCCCAGACTGATTTGGGGTGGAAGGGACCTTAAAGCTCACCCAGTTCCAACCCCTGCCGTTTGCAGGGACACCTTCCACTAGAGCAGCTTGCTCCAAGCCCCTGTGTCCAACCTGGCCTTGAACACTGCCAGGGATGGGGCAGCCACAGCTTCTCTGGGCACCCTGTGCCAGTGCCTCAGCACCCTCACAGGGAAGAGCTTCTGCCTAATGTCTAATATAAATCTGCCTTCTTCCAGTTTAAAGCCATTCCCCTTGTCCCGTCCCTACAGGCCCTTGTCCCAGGCTCCTCTCCAGGTTTCCTGTAGCCCCTTTAGGCACTGGAGCTGCTCTAAGGTCTCCCTTTCAGGAGCCTTCTCTTCTCCAGGCTGCCCCAGCCCAGCTCTCTCAGCCTGGCTCCAGAGCAGAGCTGCTCCAGCCCTCGCAGCATCTCCGTGGCCTCCTCTGGACTCGCTCCATCAGCTCCACATCCCTCTTGTGTTGTTGCCCTAGAGCTGGATGCAGACTCCAAGAGAATGCAGTTCAAGAGAGCAGGATTGTGATTATCAATTAACTTACCCTCTCTGCCCCTTGACTGCTGTGGTTGTAACATCTCTGCATGAGTGTTCCTGTGCTGCTGGCTGGTGGGAGGCAGAGGTGTTTAGCTCTCCCCATACTGCCTGTCCTTCACTGCAGTCACCTTCTGCAGGAGGGTGGCTGTGACAAAATAAGCTAATCTCTGAGCTGTGATGGGACTCCTCTGCTGTCTCTAACAAAGCCAGCCTCTGTCTGCCTCTCCTCGGACACGTCCTGGATTTTGTGCTCCATATACCAGTGTTGCTGTCATCACTGTTGCTGGAAAGACATCAGGCCTGAGAGATGGAGGTGATGGAACGGGCAGGAAGCCATCCCCTGATGCTGGTTTAGCCTGTGTGGAGTTGTCCCATTTCTCCCCCCTAGGAAACGCTGGGGTCCTGGATCACTTGATGCCTTCTGGAGTTAGTTCTTCCTTCAAGTTCAGGTGTTGAAGGTGGTCTAAGAAAGACTAATAGTCAACTACATTGAAGCTGACCAGGCTGTGTTGGCCACCAAGTTTTTATGGCAGTGATGCCTCAAAGCAGCAATCTGATAGATAAGCATAAATAATCCTGCATATCTTTACAGGCTGGGAAATGAGAGGGTGGGAGAAACGCCCCTCTGCAAGCTGACAGTACAGTCTCTTATGAAATCCTCTGCAGAGTTGGCATCAATGTGGAGAATGACAGGGAAAACTTGGAGGCATATGGCAGGACTGTTGAAAAGAGTAGGTGCGGCTTCTTGGGAAGGAAAACTTGAGTGGCCAGAGCAGCTGGGGTGGAGAGGGAGAGGAGGAAACAAACAGTTGCAGACTTCATGTATGAAACCTTTATGTGCATTGCTGCAGGCTTAAAGTTGACCAGCTTCAAAAGGCAAATGGCGACTGCCAGACAGGCAGACAAGACTCTGTACTGAAGTCAGCCCTACACCGCCAATTGGCTGTGGATATGCCCTTCAGTGGTAACTCCAAGCTCATCTGCTTCCAAACCTGACCCATCTCAAATTTGGTTGAGCTGCTCCTTCTACTGTATGTTTTGTGACTGCTTGTGCAACATCAGAAGGAAGGGTTTTAGAATCATAGGGTGGTTTGGATTGGACGGGGCCTTAAAGCTCATCCAGTTCCAACCCCCTACCATGGGCAGGGACACCTTCCACTAGAGCAGGTTGCTCCAAGCCCTGTCCAGCCTGGCCTTGAACACTGCCAGGGATGGAGCATTTACCACTTCTTTGGGTAACCTGTTCCAGTGCCTCCCCACCCTCACAGTAAAGAACTTCTTCTTTATATCTAACCTGAACCTCCTTATGTCTAATCTGAAAAGGATTTTCATTAGCGTAGTGAACAAAAGTAAGTTTAATTTCTTAAGGATAGCAGAAGAATTGGAAGATCTCATATATTTTTTTATGTGGATATCTAAACGATCTCAAAAACTCAAAGCAAACCCCTAAAAACCTGGTTTTCTTTTGGCTTGAAACCTATACTTTGAATTACTTTATTGCTAAGAGCTATGAAAGAGTTATATCTCCTTGTGGCAAGAAAAGAACAGCGTGTAATGCTGTAACACACAGTTTGAGGTTGTTTTCTTTAATAAACATTTAAGATAGTCTGCCTTTAACAAATAGCTAGAAGAGCCCTGAAAGCAATCTGTCGCCTCAGGCAGGTCTTCTTCCACACCAGCTCTTCTCAACTTGTTTGATGACTTAATTATCTTAGATAACTCTTGTAAAGATCCTAACAGCTCTGCAAATCTCTGCTTTCCTAACTCATCAAAGTAGTGTGGACAGAGTTGGAAACAGGCAGCACATGGCTGTTTAGTGCTAGGAAGCAAATCAGCAGCTACTGGGAGTTGCATCTCCAGCTTGAAAATAAAGAGGATTACACCAGGGACCAGACTTCTTAAGGTAAGAAGTCCAGTGCCTTGTGCATGACTTAGTTTTTGGCTATGTTGAAGAGTAGGAAAATGCTTGTATCCCCCACAACAGACAGACATCATTGCCTGGGGACCTGGCTGCCTCAATGTTCTGGTTAGACTGCCAGGCTCCAGTTTGCGATGCTATTAAGAGGAGATGTGTTTATGGTGAAGCCAGTAAGCAAGCCAGCTGGATGGGGAAACTTCATTATCCTCTCCCAAGTGCAGTCTTTAGGTGTTGGTGCCTGCCAGGATTAACAGCCTGAGAGAACATTCCTCTTACAAAGGAAAGGAGGGAGCACAGGGTTTTAAGGAAGCAACATTAGTGCTCTCCTTAAATACTCGCCCCTCTTCTGAGATACCATTAAAGGGTATGGTAGTCTTTGGGTTACAGCTCTTCTGTGACAGCAGACTGGCACATTAACTGTAGCAGAACTGCTCTAAAATGAGCAAGGCTTGTTGAATAAACTTGCTGTCCCTAACCAAAGGAGAAAATCTGCTAACAGAGAGACTTCACTTGCTTATAGGTTGGTAATGATGCATCTGTCATACAGTGCATCTCTGCTGGAACAGAGCCAGCTCATAGCCAATGGCTGCATTGGAATGGGAATGCTGTAGTTTGATAATTGGTGCAAGTATGGACCAGAAACCATTACAGGAGCTTTCCCTGGCTAATATGAAGGACCTAGTTTTGAGTGCTGCTATATGGACTCAGACCTGAGGAGTTCACTGAATAGAAGTGACTGAGATGGTGCTAACCCAAGTGTGCAGTAAGAGCTCCCTAGATGCAATATATGTTGATATATCATGGGATTTTTAAGAGCTCAGCTGGCTAAGACTGTTTCTTGTGCTGCTTGCCCATCTCAGTAGCACCTTGTGGTGCAGCAATGGGCTTAGCACAGCTTCTAGCTATGGCATCCCTTGAAGCCAGAGCACTGTTTTCTTCAGCCGCAGAGTTCAAACTCACGCTCTCTTGTGGTAGTTGGGGGGTGACCATTGCTTTGTAGGAAGGCTAGAATGCCCACGGACCAGTTTAGCTCTAGAGTTAACCTAAATATTTAATAGGATTAAGCAAAAGCCTTTGATTGAAACAAAAGAGCATACTAGGCTCCAGTGACCCTCGGTGCACCCAGGCTGGCAGCAGGGAACCCTGCTGACGTTGCTCTCTGTTGGGACTGGCTCCTCCCAAGCCACACTGGTGACCCCAGCCTAGCATTGCTCTTCCTTTGGCTGATGCTTCTTAAATCAGCATGGTCTATTTTGAGCAAAGAACTTGTTAGAGCAAATTTTAAGGAACCTAAAACATCTTCATTGCCTCTGCAGGAAATCTCACTGAGCACAGGGCAGGAAGGAGAGGCAGGCAGGAAAGCTGACCTCTGAGATGTTCTCCCACCAGTCCTCATGTGTCACTTGGTTGTGCTGCTTCCCCAGGAGGAGGCTCACTGCACTAGCGAAGATGATCTGTGGGACTGTTTTCTAGCATCTGAGCTCTTTGCTGTCAGACAAGTGGGAATGGAAGTAGCTTGCAATAATAGAGATCCATTTATTCCCTGGGTCTTATAGCATGAAGACCTCATATCCATTCCTGATAAGCTGCCTAATTTGCAGTGTTGAAAGCAACCTTGTCATCTCTTCTCATGCTTTACATAGGCTTCAGCCATGGTAATCAAGCAGAGTTAACTTCTGATATAGTAAAATACCTTCTCTCTATGGTGAAGAACTGCACTGAAGTTGGTCTCTTGCCTTCATTGTGTTGTGTGCTAGCCACCCCATGGATGTGTAGTTTGTGTGGCCGGTACCAACAAACTAAAACCAGCATCCTGTCTTATCGGTGCTCCCACACTGCCTCCAACTTGTGGGGCTGGCTTTGGAAACTGAGACTTGTTGAAATCCTGCCTGTCTTGATCCTGCAGCAGAATTGGTTGTATGTAACTGTGGAGTTGACTCGCTGGTCCTCATGTGTTGTCAAAGCATCAGGTGCCAAGTTGCATTCGGGAAGCTTGACATAGTGCTGCCTTCCAATTTGACCCCTTGGCCTTGCTCTTTACTGTCCTTTCAGTTGCTTAGGAGTCATGAGGTGATGAGATTATTTGGGGAAGGGAGCTAGCCTTGTGAGTTCCTTCCTCAGATATGTGCATCCCCTTTCTCTGCTGGGAGTAGTAGTTAGAGGTGATGCTTTGGGTTGATACTATTAATGCAAAGTCTGTATAAATGGTGATGGAATTACCAGTGTTATTTGTGATTACATGTCTTCTGTAACTGCCTATAGTCCTCTGTCACTCTCCAGGAGGTATTGGCAGCAGTGGCTCTTTGTAGTGATGGTGATGTCCTGTTTTGCTGCTCTGAGAAGGCAACTGAGGTAGTCTATGGAGCACATGCATTCTGTGTATCTGCTCTGAGCTCTACCAGATGATCCAGAGCTCTGCACAGGGTAAGGGTGCTGCTCTGAAATTGCCTGGATGACCTGTCACTAACATAACTGGTTGTCTGTTTGCTTTCCCCTTAGGTCTTATAAGTGAAAGAAGATGGGGTCTGGCTGCCTGAAAGTCACCAAGTACTTCCTCTTCCTCTTCAATCTTCTCTTCCTTGTAAGTATCATGGGCATCTTCCTCCTTAGTCTCCTCCTCTTGTAAATATCATGGGCATCTTCCTCTCCAGTCTCCTCTTCCTTGTAAGTATCATGGGCATCTTCCTCTTCAATCTCCTCTTCCTCATAAGTATCATGGGCATCTGCAGAGTAGAAAGGAAGGCCTGTACTAAAGTAAGCTGGAAAGCTGTTTGTTTCTGGATGTTGGCCCAGTGTGTTCATTAAATAAAATGGTCAGTTTTGGAAGGAGGGAGGGAATCCCTGAAGCTGCAGGTCATCAGAGCTGCTGTGTGGCTCCCAGGTATGTTCTGCTGCCAGTACCCACTTGCTGTCTCCAATCCACATAGCTCCTTTCCTATGGAAGGGAGGAATGGGAAGGGAAAACAGGAGCTATGGGTCTGTTCTGGAAGGACAGTACTTGTAACTACTTTCTCTGCCACATCTGGAGCAGCAGCTGAGCTGCCCCTGAGCAGCAAAGTACAAAACCTGCCAAGTAATGGCAGTGACCTCCTAAATAGGCCAGGCAGGCTTCAAAGAACAACTCTAATTTTGTTTGAGTCCCAGCGGCTGGTTTTGGTTTTTAACAAGATGAATTAGTCCAAGTCCCCTGTTTGAAATAGAATTGGGAAATGGGGAACACTGGGGGAGGTTTGCCTGGGGAAATGAAGCAGCCCACTGGGTGCAGTTACTTTCAAGTGTAAGGCTTAGCAAAAGGTAAGCTCTTCTTTGGATCAGAGTGGGTCTGGGAGAGCCACACACCCCCTTGCATGCATCCTTTTGTGAAGCTTGGATATTGTGTGCCATGGGGATGCTGTTGGTGCTGCCCTCCTGCAGTGGCATGGTGTAGTGGGAAGCATAAGGTTTCAGCCTTCCACATGCTGGCAAGAAAAGGACCTGTCTGATGTTATTCTTTGTGGAGCATGTAAGGGGAAGGGTGGGCTGGGCAGGGAGGGAGGGAAATGGAGCACGGCAAGGTGAGTACTGCTTTCTGGTCTCTGTCCCTGCAGAGAGCTTTACTCTTGCTTCCTGCGTGGCTGCTCTGTGCTGCTGGCACATGGGTTTGAGCCTGAAGCACATCTGGATCTGGTTTCTCTTGGCTTGCCTTGCTGGCTCTTTCCTCTGCTTCTTGCTTCCATCCTAAGAGTAGTTAGCCTGGTCTAAGGGCTGAAAGTCAGGGGTGCTCAAAGCATCCATGGGGAAGGCTCTTGGTAGGAAAGGGAGAGGAGAAGTTTTACAAGTGCCACTAGATCTTTTGGAATATGATTTGGTTCACTTTAAGGGTAGGAAAAATCCAGCTGGGTCCAGACTTGTCTTCCTACTAGTGCAGGACTCCTCTGAATGCATTAACATCCAGGCTATCTCTTCTTTTGAAGAGGTGATACTTTTTAAGCAGCATATGATGCAACTTAAGGTGCAACTTAAATGCAGCTCTGCTTCTCAGGAGACACTGGTTAAGGCAGTGTTTGGGTTTTGCTGAAGCCCGGTGCCTAGGCACTGTCTAATCTTCCTTTATCCCTGAGCCTGGGTCCAGGCACTGAATCCCTCTCTGGGTCCTGGGGAGGCTTGAGCACTCCTGTCTGGATTGGAAGTGATGGGAAGCAGCTCTTCTTTGTTCTGTGCACACCCTGCTCCAAACCAGCTCCTCTGGTGTAGCAGCCAGCCCCTGTCCCTCTTGGGGAAGGCTCATCTGATGCACTGAGCTGGTCCTGTAGAGTTAAGAGTTTTAAGGTGGAGTGTGAGGAAGTCTGTGCTGACCAAAGGGAGAAGCTACTTTCATTACCGCTTTGCTAAGCCCGCTGTGCAGCACAGCCACTGTTGAGTTGCTGTGAGCTCCCAACACAGGCAGGTTTTCTATATCTCATCCTGGTTTCCTGGAGCTACTGAGTTTTGGTGAGGAGCGTGCATGCGCAAATGTGAACATTAATGCTGGTGATGGAGCTCCATGTCTACTCTGAACCTTGAGCTGAGCCTCTGTGATCACATCCTGTGCGGCCCTTGCTGTCTGAAGTGTGCTCTCCAGCCCTGCTTGAAGCTGGTGAATTAAGCCTTTAGTCAACATGCTGGGAACTCTTTTAGAGTTCAGTCAGTCATTGAAATAGCACTTCCACAGCCTGAGGTCTGTGAGGAGGTCCCTTGCTGTAGCTGAAGTAGTTCAGGGACTTGGTGGTATTTTGCAGACATGAAGGCTCACTTCAGGGAAGGGTGTGACCTGCTTTGATTAAAGTTATATGGACTGCTTGCCTACTTGCTGCAAAAGATAGCAAAACCATAAGCTTGGAGTATGAGCTTAGTTTCTCTAATTAAAACTTAACACATCTCTACTTTCTTGGGTAGCAGACACAGGCCATAGCAGATGCTTCCCCTTAAAGGGAAAACAGTTCTGTGAGACAAGTTCAACAGTCTCTGGAAACTATTTGTTTAGAATATATAACTGTCTGTCCTACTCATAACCCTTCTGTAAATGGAACAGAACACTGCTACCTAAAACAAAGCCTGGAGTTTAAGAGCCTTTCCCTGTGCCAGGCTCAATGATGCCTCATGCAGTCTGAGTGTGAAGAGAAGGATGGCTGGGGACCCCAGAAAGGTGTCATCTCCATCACAGCTTAGCTCTTCCTTTCCCTTCACTGGGCTCTGCTGTGACAAACTGCTGGCCCTGCCTTGAGGGAGCTGCATCCTTCTGGCTTGGCTGTGGAATAGGATCTTGCTGAAATCAGGGATGAAATCTCCATCCTGAGGGTGGAGGGGAAACATCCAACCCCTGCTTTGGGAGTTTAAAGCAATGGAGCAGAGGAATTAATCCCTGTGGAAGGCAAATATATTTCTTTCTATGGGGGTTCTAAAGCCAAGCCAGTGGCAGAAGCAGCCTTGCCATGTTATGCAAGCTCCTGAAGATGCTGAGCAGAGATACTATCCTGCTAGGAGTTAAATACACTGTGGTTAATAGCACAGCATTTTCTCCCTGCCTTCCCCTTTTACTGTGTTCCGCAGCAGCTCCTGGCAAACACACACGTTGTGGACTAGAGCAAAGATCAGAGTGAAAACAGGCCTTGGATAATCTGAGCACCTCATAACAAAGAACTTCCCAGGAACTCAGCTCGGCAGCTGTGCTGTGTTTTGTCAGCAACAGCACAACTTAGGTGACGTTTCAGGGTCAGCGAGCCAAGAGGGATGTCACACACAGCCCGGTTTGTGTCTTTGTTAAGACAAATATTTTAGTGAGACTATAGTTGAAGTGTGAGGCTGCCTCAAAACTGTCAGTTCAGCAGTTCTTGGCAATACCAGGCTTGAGAGGGATTTTATAGGCACCACATCTATTGCATGTGCAAAGGGGCCTTTCTAGTTTGATCAGCGGATTGAGCAAGGGAAATCTTGTTACTGCCACCTTACCATTAATATTATTGTTATTATTATGTTTTTCTGGGGTACAAAGGCTACATCTTTTCTGCAGCTGAATCAGTCATCTTCATCCGTCTTCCTAGATGGGGAACTTGCTTGGTGACTTTCTACTCCTGTCCCCAGAGCTATCTACATGTTCTGACCTCTGCCAAGCTAGGAAAGCTTGGAAGCTGCTTATTTCAGACTGTTGCTTTATCTTTGCTCAGAAAAGCTTCTTTGTATGAGGAGCTGAAGCACAGTGTAAACTTTCAAGATGTGGAGCCAGTGTGTGTTCATACAACCCTCTCTGCCAGCTTTATTCAGGTGGTGGTTTGGCTTTTCCTTTGGCTCCCAAATATCCCAACATTCCCTAGTGAAGCATAGAATTGCAATCTCTTTTCAGCCCTGTTGGTTTATTCAGTATTTCACTTTATTCTGTCTTGAAATCCTGCTGATGGAAGAGTTGCTGCTTGCAGTTCACTTCCTCTGGAAGCGTCTCACTTGCATTCCTTGTCCTTCCCTTGTTTCTTCAGTGTCTGTTTTAGGTCTTTGCATGACAAGTGATTTCCAGCCTTTGCTGATGCTTGTTGGCTGAACAGCGCATGTTTCAGCTCCTTATCAAACCTACAGATTTAAAGGCTTCTCAGCTTAGTTACTTTATTATGGGTGTAATGGTGCTCTCATCCTATTTTGGGAGTCATCTACCTGCAAACACCTCACAGTGTAGTATAAGGCATGGTGATACCTAGAAGCTAAAACAGAGCACACTTTCCCTCTATTGCCCCTTCAAAATGATATGGGAAAAACTGTATGTCTTTTGCCTTCTCGATTCCATGTCTGGAATCAGCTGAATCCTCACAGGGACATATTGCTCTATTAATCCTTGCCCTGGATAAGGCTGTGGTGAGCAAGGCAGAGGCCATGGCTGGTGTTTCATAGTGTTTGACTCTCTTGGTGGTAAGATATGTTGACCTGGGGGCTTGGGGTATTGTTCTATAAAGTAGTGACCAAGCCAAACTGCCTAAGCTTGGCTTTGGAATGGGAAGAGCACTCAAGGGAATCTGCATGCAAAGCGAATGCTGCTGGTTTATTGCATTTGTGGGTTGCAGCTCTACTGTTAAAACAGAGCCTGACAAGACATGTTTCCTTCCTGGGAAGGTTCCAGCTGCCAGATATCTAATCCTTTGGCAGCTGGCTTGAAGCCTGGTCCCATAGGGTCAGGGATTTCTGTATTCCAAAAACATCTTTAAAATCAGATGCTAGATGTGTTTGTCCTTTGTCAGTTCTTCACAGCAGCATTGTGCTTACCTTCTGCTTCTGACAACAAGGTTCTAGCAGCAGGGAGGCCCTTCCTCAGGCAGTTTCAAACAGTTATCCAGTACAGCATCGTGTACTACTGCAGTACTGTGTGAAGGACTGCCAAGCAGCACCTGGGGCTCCTGTGCAGTTGGCTGAGGTGCTCTTCCTGGAGTCATGCTAATCCTGTTTACTCTGGGAGGATAGTGTGGGGGAGATGGGATGGGAACAGCAAAAGAATGGTTGTGTTCACTCTGGAAGTATGGAGAATGGTGACTGCTGCATCTTCTTTGTCTAAAATAGTCAGTTAATGTGTTTTGTTCTTACTCTTTCAGATCCTGGGTGCTGTGATCCTGGGTTTTGGGATATGGATTCTGGCCGACAAAACCAGTTTCATTGCAGTTCTACGTAAGACCATCTTTCTTCATCTTATTTCTCCTTCTGAATTGACTCTGGTTCGGAGCTGTGCTTGACCATGGCGTGATCTAGGGACAGCAACACTTCTATGCACAGTCTGTGACCCGAGCAGTAACATGGTGTATAGCACAGTGGGACCCTATCAGGGAAAGAAGGAAAGGGAACAACCCTGGAGACACAGCATTCCTCCTGGTCTTGTGGATTTCAAAACCAGGGGCAGACTGAGACCATTGCCTCTTCACCCAGCGATCCAAAACCATCATGTTAAACATAAGGGCTAGTATTTCATCCTATCTTTGCTGAGTGCTCTGTGTTTCCACAACAGCTTTCTTATCACTATCATGTCCAATGCCTTAATGTAGTTTCTCTGAGTCCCCCCGTGCTCCCACTGTTTTCTGTAATGATCTATTTCAATTTGACAATTTTAAATTCCAAAGAAAGTAAGTACCTGGTTTTATTGATGCTTAGTGTACATTGAAAGTAGGCAGTATGTTGTCCCTAAGCAGGAGAGGATGTAGATCCGAGGGGGGGTGTGGGGGTGTGGAAGATACGGGTCTTTACTGCTCTGACTTCTAAAACATACTTGATTTATACACGCTTCATGAGGCTTAGCCTGGCCATCAGAAGTGGTTTGTGTTGCTGGAGGTGCAAGGTGCTAGCTTGCTTCCTTTCTCTAAGTCAGCCAAGTGCATCGACTTCAGTCTTAACAGAGGGTCTGCTTTCTGCAACAACCAAAGCTGGCTTAGCAGAGCCTGGGCTTTTCAGAGCTGGAAGTGGAGCTTAATCACCAAATGAGCATCCTTCACAAGCTCTGCTTCCTTGGGACTTTGTTCTAGAGGGGGTATCAAACAACTTTTCTGCTTGGCTGGTCTGATTATTCAGTGCCACTACCTCCAGCATTGCTGACTCTGGCGCCAGTGTCAGATGCTGCAGGAGGATTGCCTGCACACTGCAATAATGGCATTCATTTCCCTACTCCCAGCTCCACTGTAAAGAGTTTTATCCCCCAAGTCCTGCTGAACGCTCCAGCCTGGCTTTGGAAGGTGCTGGGTGGAAACAACACTCCCACTAAATGCCATACACACAGATACTGCTGCTGTTTGTTGTGCTGTAGCATCTGGCTTGTTCCTGCAATACTAGAAGGGCAAGAAGCACAGCAAAGGGTGTTGGTTAATAAAGTAGGGGCATGATTCTAATACAGGCAGCCAAAAAGGAGGTTATCAGGGCCTGGTTATTTGCAGCACTCCTCACAGTCTGAGGCATGTTTAGTACCAGTGAGCCAGAGCTGTTTCCTCAGGCTGATGGGTGTTACTATCACTTGTGGAAGTAAGAAGTCCCTCAGCTTGGCTCTGCTTCTTCCTATTTTACCCAGAATCTCTGCTAAGGGAGCATTGAAGGATTTAGCTTCCTTCCTGGAGATTTCCAGTATCAGCTGTTTCTCCCTGCCCCCTTGCTTCCTTTCCCAGCCCTTGCCTCTCTTTCCCTCTGCTTTAGTAACCCAGGCACCAGGGAGGGAGCTCGCTGCAGCAGGGCACTCCAGCCCTGCCAAGGGAGCCTGTTGTACTTGCTTGGCTGCCTGCCCAGCACAGGGTAAAACACGGAGCAACAGCAACCAGAGCAGGAATCATCCTGCCAGCAGAGCTTTCTCTTGCAAGACAAGATGTATTGGACATGTATTGAGAAAAGGAGCAATGGCTCTGGTCCCTCTGCCACTTCTCTGAAGGGTTTTTGAGTGGGAAATGCCTTTTTCTCTTTCCTAAGTTGACTGAACAACTCCTTGCTAGCATTTTGAAGGTGCTGGCACACTTGTATGGTAGCTAAGCAGATTTTAGGAGAGGGAATAGTGTAGTCTTGTGAAGGCCACTTCTGCAAGGCTGCTATTTCAGTAAAGGCTTTGCAGTGCCAGCATCTAGCCTGCACAGCAAGAGTCCCAAGGTGAGGAAGCAGGAGCTGGATCCTGGTTTCTGTGGCGTGTGTCCAGCCAGGGAGAGTCTGGCCTGGAAATGAATCAAGGCTCAAGTGTCCAAAGTGACCTATGTGGCAAACAGCTCTGGTTCATTGTTTCTGGTAACTGATCTTTTTCTTCTGCTCAGCATGTTCTAGGGAAACAGCTTGGAACCTGGTGACTTGCACCAGGTATCACAAAGGAAGGGAGGACTCTATTAGGTGGGAGAGCATTAGTCTGGATTCAGTTACTCTCAACCCATTTCAGGAGCTTGGAGGAAGCTTCTCTTCTGGGACTTCTGTCCAGGAAACTAAATGCTGAGCTCTAGGAACATTGTTTTCATTAATCACTGGACACCCAGAATTCCCGTACACTGCTCAGTTTGCAGGCATAAGAATGTCTCTTAATGATAAATGAGGTTTCTGGTTACTATTTCTAGGCAGAGCGTCTCTTCAACTTGCATACTGTAATGCTTGCTCCTACCAATCCTATCCTGCAAGAAAAAATCCTCTGACCAATGCAAATGTAAAAGCTTGTTTCTTTTGTTGTTTGCAGACTAAATGGTGGAGGGAGAGGACTGGCAGCACCAGCATGTCTGAAATAATAATACCTAAACTTGGTTGAAAACCTCTCTTGAGTGTTCAAGAGCACATTTATTGCAGGCACAATAGAAGGAGGATATGTAAAAGCAGCTAATTTGAGCATCATACCTGTTCTGATGCTAGAGGAATAGCCTCTATTTGCAGGTGGTCTTGCAAGTGCTGCAAGAGCCTTCAATGAATGCCTGGCCACAAGCTATTCAACACTGACTTGTCAAGTAAGCTGTCACATCATCGATGCTCAACACTAGCTGTAGCTCTTGCTGCACAGAGTTTATGTGCTGACTGCAAGTGGATAAGTAAAACCAGAATGGCTGGAACAAGGAGTAGTGCATTAAAGCCACCAGCCAGACCAAGAAGGGCTTTTATGACTTGAAAAAACACTTCCTTAATGGGTAGCAAAAGGAATTGATGCATATAGGCAGTATCTGTGGAGTAGAACATGCTTTATCTTTCTCTCGGAGTGTGTTCATGAGGGAGTTAAAAGTCCAGTCAGCATTAGCTTTATCCAGACAAGGTTTATTTGCTTGGAGTGACCTTCAGTCTCCCAGGCTCTGAGACTCTGAGATAATGGAGACCTGCAGGTTGGCTTTGAAAGTCTTTCTTCGTCAGAAGACACCCAGAAGCAGCTTTGTGTCTCCATGTCCAACATGCCTCTTTGCAGTCCCTTGGTAGAAGATGACAGACTATTACAAGTAGATAGAGGCAGTTCTCTATATGGTGATGGTAGATGTAGTTTTTATTCAGTAGCTAATGTTGTTCTGTCTCCTGGCCCCTACAGAGATGTCATCTCCCTCCCTGAAGATTGGTGCGTACGTCCTCATCGGTGTTGGGGCTCTCACCATGCTGATGGGCTTCCTGGGCTGTCTTGGAGCAGTCAATGAAATCCGATGTCTCTTGGGTCTGGTGAGAGAATCCATTCTATGTTTTAGAGCCAACCTTTAATACCTGCAAACTCTCTGTTGGATTGTAGCTGGGGCTCAGCTCTCCTGGGGGTGGTACCCATGCTAGGTCTTAGTTTGCACACAGTAAATTCTCCAGCGGTCAACAGACTGCAGCAGGGGTTTCTCAGACATTATTGATGGTGAGCTGAAACTCTGTGAAATGAGAGAGGATGTCACTGACACTTTGTGCAAACAGTGGCTTGAGGATTGCCAGCTGAGGAGGTGACCCTATTCCTCATCTCATCATCCATCCATCCCCAACTTCCCAGTTTGCATTGTGTGTTCAGTGATGCAAGGAACAAGTATCAAGGACAGTGAGAGAGAAGAGTGACAGTGTCCTGCTGTGCTGCAAAGTTCAGCTTCTATGGAAAGTGCAGGAGTCAAGGGAGACTTCACAGAATCACAGAACGGTTTGGGTTGGAAGGGACCTTAAAGCTCATCCAGTTCCAACCCCCTGCCATGGGCAGGGACGCCTTCCACTGGACCAGATTGCTCTAAGCCCTGTTCAACCTGGCCTTGAACGCTGCCAGGGATGGGGTAGCCACAGCTTCTCTGGACACCAATGTTGGCCCAGCACCTCAGCACCCTCACAAGGAAGAATTTCTTCCTAAGATCTCATCTAAATCTCCCTCTTTCAGTTGAAAGCCATTTTCCCTTCACTAGGAATGTCATGTATGTTAGGGCCTTTCTTCACATGGTTTGTCTGTAGGACTTTCCTGTCTGTGATGGATGGGATGACACTAGCTTCATATACCTCAGCCTGCTACTTAACTCCTGCTTATTCAGAGTATATATGTAGAGGAAACCAGGTATGGCCACGTTGTGTGTCCTGATATTAGGAACATCTAATGTAATGGTAGTAGCCACCACTGTTTAACCTCAGATGTCAAGCTTTCCTTAAAATCCTTTTATTCCTTAACATTTTCCTTAAAATTCCTTAAATTTAGATCCTTAAATTAAGTATCATTTTTAAAAGACAATATAATAATAATAAGTAGGTTCATAAAATTTACTTTTCTTGGTCTGGTGGCTTTGGAGTAGGCAGGATCCAACTGATTGAGGCCAGAGTGGTCTGGGAATGGAGCTGGAGGTGGCAAAGGGAGCATGGCACATGCAGAAGGTGCTTGTAAACCCCTCTCCCTCCTGAAGTCTTCCTGTTGGCCTGATGGGAGAAGTGCTGAAGTGCACTGGCCTGATGTAGATGCTTGTATTTAAGCCCTTTACTGGGGAGAGCACTGCTGATAGCAGAGCTTCTCTATTGACAAAGGTATTGGCTTAATGTTGTGACTTCTCTTGTGTATGAAATCTTACTAAAACTGTTATGTACAGACTTTTCTAAAGGCTGATAGTGATCATCTGTTTTTGTTTCCAGTACTTCACCTGCCTGATGATAATCCTCATAACTCAGGTTGCTGCTGGACTGGTCATCTACTTCCAGAAGGAAACTGTAAGTATTTGTTACTGTGCATGTTTTCCTTGGTCTTGGCTTGGGGGCACAGGAGACACCTGGAAATTCTGTCTTCTAAACTGGGCTATACCATTAGCAGGCGTAGAATCACAGAATGGTTAGGGTAGGAAAGGGCCTTAACATCATCTAGTTCTAATAACTGGATTCTCCTTTCTTCTACCCGAGCCTAGCAGCTTTGCTGTACAGTTCTGTATCTGCCAGCCTCAGTAGTGCTACTTTCTCAAGGATTATAAAGCTCTGTTTGGTATGCAGACTTTATTTTGGGTAGTGGGAACAGTAAGAAGAAATTCCTGAAAGGCTTTTGACCACACTTCCTCTTGATCCTGCTGTAGACTACTGTTTAGGCATGTAGTAACAGTGATTACTACTGTGTTGCCATCACTGGTGCCTTGAGGGGTTACCAGCCCGGGTGATTGCTTTTGATTGGCCTCCCTTCTTGTGTCATCTTGTTCCATCCTTTCAGTCCTCCTGCCTCTGTATTTAAAGCTCTCCTTGGAAGAGCTGCCCTCTTTCCCCAAGAGCAAACTCGAGTATCTGACAGTTCCTGTACTACAGTTTGAGCTTGAAGCCAAGTGGTTTAACATTTTGAAGTGGATCTCTTTGTCAGGAGTGCAGTTGCACAGTGTATGCTTCCAGAGCTCCAATAGGCTTGGTAGCATAAAGGGAATAACCTTTGAGCTACTGGAGTGCATTGCAACAGCCTTTCCTTGGCTATAGGTTCTCTGGCCAAGCAGTGCCCAGGCCTCCAGCTGTTTGACAGCTAAACTGGGAGCAAGTTATGACTGTGGGGTCCCTGCTGGCTCCTGTCCTGGTGTGCCCGTTGCTGTACCAGTTGTGGATAACCCTGTCCTCTGCCACATAGCTGTGTATCTGTACCACTGCACTGCTTGCTTCTCCTAAGCCAACCCTCCTGCAAGGTGATTATACAAAGCAAGTGGTTGAGGAAATTATGGATGAGGAGTGGGGTGAAGGTCTGCCCTGGTGTAGCTGGTTATGAGTTTTGTACAGGGGGCTGTGTTGCCTGTAGCAGTTGTTGGCTGGGTTTCTTGGCAATGTGAACGTTGCTTGCTCTCTGGGCTGGCTGGAGCTGCAGGAGAAACTGAAACATTGGCTAGCTGATGTGTAAAGTTAGAGCGTTGAACGAGCTGATGATTCTCAACACATAGCTCTGACTCATGCAGAGGAGGACGTGTGGGGATGGGCATTCCCCTGCAGTGGGGAAATGTGACTATTGCAGACCATGAAATTCCGTACCTCTGTTGGTATTTCTCTTCCAGCTGTCACTGCTCTAGAAAATGCCAGCTTTTGAGCTGTAGTTCTTCATTTGAACCTCACACCAGGGAGAGAATGAAAGTGCTGGGGTGGGGGGTGTGTGTCTGTACAGCCCTTGGAGCTGGTGTGGCTGAGGTCATCATTTGTATGGATCCATCAGAATGATGGGGGGAGATGGGCTTTGAACAGATGCTCAGTGAACAAAACTCATGGGAAAGCTCTTCTAGAGCCCTTCTATTTCAGAGATCCTCCAAAGTCCCTGCCTAGAGCACTAAGAAAAGCTGTTTCAGGAAGGTCTTGGCTGAAACCATACACTGCTCGGTGGCTGCGCTTCAATGATGCTATGCATGTCGCTCTGCTTGACTTGACGTACGTCATCCCAGTACAGCAAAAAAGCAAACTGTAAACTGCTTAAGATCCAGGCCCTGGATATCTATTGTGTTCTTTGTGTTTATTTCTTTCTAACGTCAGGAACTTGGTTAGATATAAAACAAGGAATTGCAAGAGCAGAGGAGAGGAGTGTGGATCCAGAATATAGCAGGGTGATACTCGCTCCTCCACTCCTTGTAACCAAAGTATTTATTAGTGCACTGCAGTAGACAGGATTATTATCGTACTCCCCTCTACATGCCCTTTTCCTGCTTGGTTGCTACAGATTTGCTTGATGGATTTTTTTTTTTTGTTGGAATATTTATTCCTTTTCATTGCCAAAATCCCCACCCCTACATATGAAAGCAGGCTGAAATAGAGTTAATGTAACTGTAAATGGCTGAGTGACAGGAAGGCTGCTGCTTTGCCTGCCCCATGGGCATTGCTGGAGGAATGCCCCTTCAGACTGGAATTGCCCAGTGCTACAGGGAGGATGTTGATGCAACACCCATTTGCCTACATCTGTTGGCAACTGAAACGCTGGGGTGGGGTTTTTTAGTGACAACAAAAATAGTAATGTCACAAATGGCTCTGTGCTTTGTGAGCTGAATGTTACTTGCCTACATCGAGTGGATCACAAGCCCTTATGCATATGAGAGCCCTGGGCAAGGTCTCCCTTTAGAGTTCCCTGCATCTTGGCTCTAAATGCCTTGAGTGAAGCAGAGCAGTGGCCTTTTGGGAGTTACCCTACTTGGTAGCTATTGTTTGCAGCAAACAGGCCCCCTGTGATTGTGTGGAGTGACTTGTCTGGGGCTCTGCATTAGTTTCAGAATATGAAGTGACTGGGAGGATGAGAGCCCTCTCATGTGTTTTTGAGCTTATTTAGGTGTGCAGGCTAGATCCTAGGATGCTGGAGGAAGGATGTAGCTTGAGTCCCACACAGAGTATATGATAGACAACTGATGGTGTTTAACAGTGGAAGAAGCCTGCACAATTCATTCTGTGAGCAAGACTGGAACCAAAGACCTGTGCTCTTGCCTCTGGTGTTCATCTTTGCCCAGTCTCCCTCTTCAGTAAGCCTGTGTGAAGGGAAGTCTGACAGCCTTGCTGCTGGTAGTGGTCTGTGGCTTTGGTGTCTTGGCTTTGAATGTCTCTGCTTTGGGGTGCTGGAGTTCTGCCTTCTAACACCAGGCTAGAGCTGGGAAGCAGCAGAAAGCAAAGGTAGCAGTCATGCTCCACACAGCACTGAGTCCTGCCAGGCCTTAAATGGGTGAAGATAAGATATTGAAAGCTTTCCCAAGAGTTCAATATGCCTTTCTAGCTCATTGCTGTTTCAGTGACCAGCTGCAGGTCCCTGTGTTTGCCCTTTAGGCTGCTCTGCCAGGTAAGCCTGTGAATAAGCTGCCTGTGTGTGCTCTGCAGAGCTGGGCTATTGTTTTCACAACATTCCCCCCTTCTCCAGTTACTTCCTGAAACACCTAAGAAAGCCTGAGTTTAACTGGAATGCCTCACCCTTTGAAAGCAGAGTTGTTTGAAGACTTCTTCCTTGTTCTTGTGTAAGAGTAGAGGAAGAGCAGGCATACCACTTCCTATGCAGCTGTGGTTGAGCACAGCTGTGGTTGAGCACATCTGATTCAGACCCTGTCTCTCTGCTTCTGGTGGGGTCCTGGGATGGAGAACAGAGGCACTGCCTGGATTCATGCAGAAGTGACCCTAGCCTCCCTAATAGCTAAGGGACTAGGTGGGCCCAGGGTAGGACAACAAGCCCAGCTCCCCTTGCCCCCCTCTGCATGTGGAGCAGCAGTGTAAGGATGGGACCTCAGAGGTTCAGTAACTGATAAGGCTTATGGTAGCAGCCAAGGCCAATCTCATTAGTGAGAACCAGGTCAGGTTGCCTTGCTTCTCAGGGAAGGAAAAGGGGAAGCGAAGTAATTAAAAGGGGAAGAGCTAGACATCATGAGAAGAAAGATCATGCAGCTCCCATCTGTCTGGGCCTGACGTAGCTGATCCCAGTGACCTGAGCTGCAGGTTTCCTGGGAAGAAGAGTTGCTGATGTAGAGAAGCTTCTCTTAACAGTAGGCACTGCTTCCGCTTGCTGGGTGTCTCTGGGTTTGCCATGGTCATTTGCAATGCTTAACAGAAGCAGGACAGGGAAAAACTGTTTCCACTGACCTGAAATATGCTGTAGCACCATAGACACAAAGGTAATACGTGGGATGGGAGCATCTTAGTGCTCAGGGTGATGTAACTGTCCCATCCCTGAAGCAGTCTCATGATGCTTCTCTCCAACCTCTTGTGAGCTGGGTCTGACTTTAGCAGTAGCAGATATCCTTGTGTACAGGCTGGCTGAGTTTCAGAGGGAGGTGGGAGGAAGAAGGTGAAAGAGTCTGCTGCATGGTGGCTTGTACCTCTCTTCAGATTGTGTGGTGTGAATATGATAAAGAATGGGGGCAAAGGGATGATTTGATACACCTGAGCTTTGGGAGAAGACTCGGTTTAGGCAGTTGTAGTACTTCCTGTCTTGATACAGAAGCAGCAGTTGTAGGAGTCTGGGGAGAGGCAGATCAATGCCTTGTGAAATGGGGAAGTTTCCCCCAGCTGTGTGTCAAAACCCAGCTGCAGACAGGAGCACAGTGATTCAGACCTTCCCTGCGTGGTGGACGAGAACTGCAGTGATTGAGACCCTGCGACAGAGTCTCCCTTGCAGTGCAAGGTTAGAAATAACATTACCTGTGAGTACTTAAGGCAGTGTTGCCCTTCAGCTTGCACTTAGCTTTCACCTCTGTCTCGCTCGGGACTGGCAGCAGTTCTTCAGCCTCTCTCTTACCAGGATAACCATACCAAGATCTGTTTCCTTTATTGCTCATCAGGTTTGAAACTCTTTTCTGTGCCTGGATAAGGACTTGCTGGGAAATACTGGTTCTTTGCCTGTTGTATTGCATATCAAAGCTGCTGTCTTGCCCTCCCTTCAAGACGGAGGCTGCATATCCCACCTTATCTGTTACTTTTTGCAATCTCCTGGTGTCAAACCAGAACATGCAGTTAGCTTTGGCGTATTCTTAGTGACCAAAGCTACATTATATACACCCTAAGCCCCAAAGAAAGGCTACAAAGAATTGACTAATAACTCTCCTGCCGATGTTCCTTGACAGCTGAAAGAAGAGTTGTCTCGCATAGTTCGAAGTCTGATTGAAAAATACGACCCTTTGAATGATGATGAGAGGAACCTACAAGATGCATGGGACTATGTACAAACCCAGGTGAGTCATGGGGGTCAGCAAGAGACAGATAATGCTCGTTGTCAGTAAATGCCTTTAAAACTATGCTGAGGGCAGGAAACAGGTATTGCAAGAGGCAATACCATAGTGCATTGATGTGGCTGATCTACAGAGTTGCCTGTGAGGGTTGGTGCCTGCAGACTAGGTAGCTGTCTTGTTTGCTATTGCAAGGTAAGGCCCCAAAACATTAGTACGTGCTGGCTGTTAGGACTAGATAGTATTGGCTGCATAGGCTAATATATCTGGCTTATCAGATGGCACCCCAACACTTCTCTTTGTCTGCAGGGCCTCCAGAATAGTAGCCTGTAGCTTACTGCTTGGTGCATATCACTTGCTTATTGTGATGGCTCTTCTGCCAGTGTCAGTGTTCTTGAGAGCCATCCAACTGCCTATGGTTTCTGTTTTAGCATCAGGGTCAGCACTTGAGCAACTAGGTCAGTGTTCAGGCACACTAGAGTCATCATAGCTGTTGACTGCCGAACCACAAGCTTGAGAGCTGGCTGTTGGGCTTAAATACATGCCCAGCGTGGGACTGATGTGTAGCAAGTACAAGTAAGAGAGTTTTTCTTATGTCTTCAGTCTGCAAAACACTGACCTGCAGTTTCTCCGCCTTGGATGGGAAATGATTTATTTATGCTTTATCAGTATAGTTGCATCTATCACTGTAGTTGCTAGTGAATCCAAGAGAAGCCTAAGTCTACTGTGAACTATCACACTTGAGCCTTTCTTTTATGTGGGAACAGAAGAAGGTTTTGTAGAGGTGGAGAAGTCAAGCATTAGGAGTAGGAGCTTAGTTCCTCTCATACACTGGAGTCAGCATTTGAAAGGGGGTGGTTGTTCAGAGAACAGCTTGGAGTTAGAAATCCAAACCTCTGTGAGGCAGAGGAAGCCCCTTCTAGAGGCTGGGTCTTCAACTCTTGTTTAGAAACCAAGTGCTCATTCTGGTGTGGGTGTTCAGCTGTTTGTACATCCGTTCTCATGTCTTTTACGTCAGACTGAAACATTACTCTTCCTGCTGAGCAGAGAGGGATTTTCCCCTAAACTTCCACCTCATGTTTAATAATCTTCTGCTCTGTTCCACCTTACAAGCACTAGGATTCATGCTTAAGATAAGAACATAGACTCACAGACTGGTTTGAGTTGGAAGGGACCTTAAAGCTCATCCAGTTCCAACCCCTGCCATGGGCAGGGACACCTTCCACTGGAGCAGCTTGCTCCAAGCCCCTGTGTCCAACCTGGCCTTGAACACTGCCAGGGATGGGGCAGCCACAGCTTCTCTGGACACCCTGTGCCAGCACCTCAGCACCCTCACAGGGAAGAGCTTCTGCCTAAGAGCTCAGCTCAGTCTCCCCTCTTGTCAGGTTAAACCCATTCCCTTTGTCCTGTTGCTCCATGCCCTTGTAAAAAGCCCCTCTCCAAATTACTTGTGGCCCCTTTTAGGTATTGGAAGGCTGCCACTGGGTCCCCAGAGCTTTTTCTTTTCCAGGCTGAACAAGCCCAACTCTCAGAACTGTCGTTGCTGGACTTCCCAATGTGCTTTCCCCTCCAGCAACTGCAGTTTTATCACGTGGCTGTAGAGGAATGTAAATGTTTCTTCGGATGGAAAATTCCCCTGGTCCCATCTTCCAGCCAGCCCCAGCTGCAGCCATGTGGATGTGAACTCGTGGTGCCTCCTTGGGGCTCGGTGGCATGTTGACGCCATCGTGCGGTGGCTGCTGGTGTCCCCCCGGGGGTCATAGCTCATATCAGTGGTACCTTGAATTGGGAACCAGAACATGAAAATTCACTGCTTAGTGTCTGATCAAAAGATGTGTGTTACTGAAAGAAAAATCAAGTCTTGCCATTTAAACCTCTGGAAGTGGCATCACAAGTGGAAGATGACTAAGTGGTAATTACAGAATCATGGAATCAAGCAGTTGGAAGTGACCTTTATGGTCACCCACTCCAACTGCTCCTCAGCGCTGCCAAGGCCACCCCTAACCCATGGCACTGAGGCCTCATCTCCACCATGTGTGAACACTTGCAGGGACGGTGACTGCAGCCCTGCCCTGGGCAGCCTGTTCCAATGCCTGAGCACCCTCTGGGACAGGAATTGTTCCTCAGCTCCATCTAAACCTGCTCTGGTGCAGCTTGAGGCCGTTTCCTCTTGTCCCATCCCTTGCTCCTTGGGAGCAGAGCCCAGCCCCTTCCTGGCTCCATCCTTTTCAGGTGTCTTTGAATATATGTGAGGTCAACACATTAATCTCTTGCCTGCCTTGTGTCACCCTCTCTAAGGCAATCTGCTGACAGTGAACTGGAGGGACTGAAAAATGCCTCTCAAACATATCACACAGGACAGCTGCCCTCCTCCAGCTGACCCACCAGCAATATCTGTTGTTCACTTTTACCTCTCTTCGACATTATCATCTGGAAATAAGATGAGGTTTGCTAGTATTTAGTCTGCAAAGGATTGCACTCTGTGGAATTGATGTCAAGCTGTATGGCCTGCTGAAACCTGAGTATTTATGCCTCATGCAATAAGGCTTGGAAAGTATTCATGTTCTAGCATGACTGGTGTGCTAGAACTCTGTGGATGACCTGTGCATATTCTAGTTTACTAAGCTCAAAGGCTGCTGGAAGTGGCCCTTCGACTTGTCTTGCTAGCAGAGGAAATAAAGCCCCTGTTTTTTGGACAGCGCTGTGCATAGGTTATCATCTGATAACCAGGGTGATGTTCTGACATAACTAATTCATGCAGGCTGTATAGCCTGACTGTTGTTGTCACACAGGGAGCTCCTGCATACTTGTACCTCCGCTGCCTGTTTGTCTTCACGTGCAGTATGTTACCAGTGCAAAGTGTAAGACTGTGATGATCTCTTTCTGCTTATCAGATTGCCTGCTGTGGCTGGACTGGAGCAAAGGACTGGGAAAACAATGAGATTCTTATCAACCAAAGCATGACTGCATATCCCTGCTCCTGCTCCAATAGCTCCAAGGACTTTCAGGTAGATACTGGCTTCTGTAATCTGGATGTCCCCATCAATGGCACTGCAACGTATGCTGACTGGCCTGTTCATCAGCAGGTGAGTGTGTGTATCTTCAACTGAAGTCACCTTGTCTTTGTTCTTCTTAGCGTTGTTCCCATGTCAGTATAGCTTAAAGTACTGGTGGAAATTGGGGGTGGAAGGCAGGGATATGCCCCTTCCTGCTAAAGCTACTGTGAAACTTAGTTTAGAAGTAAGTGGGATAATCCCTGCATGCACAAGGAGATGTGTTATGGATAGCTTGAGATACTTTTATTCATATTTCCTTCCATTGTGACCATATTTTTTTCCATAGGGATGTATGGATGGTGTAGAGCAGTGGTTGAAGGACAACCTTGGTGTCATTCTTGGGGTCTGCACGGGTGTTGCTGTTATAGAGGTAAGTCATTCCCTGACATGGACCCATAGTGCTTTACCATGGAGTCTCTTTTAAAGGCAGAGCTGTTTATTCAGGTAATAGATGCCTGGTTTAATGGCGGTGCAGTTCTAGCTCTTGGCTGTGTCTGCCACTTGTCTACCACATTCAAATGTTTTGAATTGATACTTCCAGGGGTTGGATTAAAAACTGAACAAATCCCTGTGGTCTACTTGTGGTTCCTTTGCTGTGTCTAACACTTGGCAATTCACTGTATGCATAATCAGGAAGAACAAGACAAGCAACATCCCACTAGTGAGATCTCACTTGTTGCCTTAAATAGCTTATAACAGATTCCAGATGAAGGCAAATCTTTTTGCATCAAAATATTATTGTTGTCCTGATTATTGCATATTTCTTGCATTTCAGACTGTTAACCTTTGTGGTGTCATTAGAAGGAGACCACTGTATTCTACTCCTCTTTATCACCCTTTCTTCCCACTTTGTGTTTGGGTGCTGATTTTGTTTCCATTCTTCATTGCTTGTTCCAGCTGCTGGGGATGATCCTGTCCATCTCGCTTTGCAAGAACATACACAGTGAAGACTACACCAAAGTGCCCAAGTCTTGAGATGGCTGAAACCAGAGCTACAGCCCCACAGAGAAAGGAGCAAACAGAACATTCCTGCCTCATACCCAGACTGTCCAACCGTTGACCATTACTCCTGTGACATCCCATTTCTCATACCACTCTGCTAAGAACTGTTAGAGCTGCAATACAGCCTGATCTTCTGGCAATAGGGCCCTTGGGCCACCTGCATCCTGCCTCTGGATTATTTTTACTTCAAGAAGCAGAACTTAACTGTCTCATATCACATGAGACACGGATTAACCTGAGGGGACAATGCTTTTTCTGCCTGCTCCGTGTTAAACGATACTACTCATATCCCCATTCTACAACCCACTGGGCCTAATACACAACAACTCCTCTCCAACCTTGTTCTCCTCCACACATGTTCCCCACTACCCTCAGAAGTCCCATCTCCTTGTCTCTTGAACCAGGATTGCTGTTGAGATTCCAGTGCTTTGATAGCTTCACGTACTTCACTGACGTGTGGTGGTAACTACTTGTGCTTTATAGGCCCTCTCCTCCCTTGCAGTTAACCTGATTCAGCTCTTCCTATGCATTTTCCAGCCTAGGCTCTCATCTGAACTATTGAGTGCTATCCTCATCCTCGCTTCTCTTGCTTCTGGAGTCAGCTATGCCTTGCCTTCAGTGGAGTTCTTCCCTTTGACTGTGATGAGGAGCCAACAGGAGGGCTCCAAGCCTACCTATTCCTAGTGTGTCCTGGCAGATTGTGGCGGTGGTGCTCAGCTGCTTCTGGAATGGGTTCCTTGGGTTCTGGATTTGGCACTTCCACGTTTCTCCCACTTGCCTCTTTTCCTTTCCCCCAGCACTGCTTTGCTGGCTCTTGTCAGCTTGGAGGCACTTCAGAGACTGCTGCAGAGCATGGGTTCAGCCCCAGGCTGGCTCTGCTGGTTGCATTCTTGGGTTGCCAACTTTTATAGAGGTTATGATTAACTTGATTCTTCCCCTGCCCCCTTTATGAACATAAAGTTCGTTAGCTGTGGTTTTGAATATGGAGAGATCTGACTGCCATTGCTAATGCTGTGTATTAGAGAGAACACCACTGCCAGTGCCCAGTTTAGGTTCTGGAATGCAAGGTGTCCTGGGTCACTCTTATTCAGTTGTTCAGTCTTCTGACTGTGCTTTGGAGCCGTGGCTGCGTCCTGAGCTCCATCTCGAGTCTAAGCACTGCAGCAGTTACAGGTAGTTCTGTGATTGTGCAGGCTGGGTGGTTTCTGTACTTAATGCCTGGGCTGTTGGCTCTGTTCAGCCGGTGGCCAGCAGCAAAGAGTGTTGTAGAGCAGCAGAAAGTATAAAAGGTATGTGAAAACCAGCCCCAGCTTCTTAGATAAGGGAGCTGGATGCTCATCCTCAGTCTTAGGGGTGGCTTGGGCACAAACCATTTTCCACAGTTGCACGTCTGTGCAATGACAGGCAGCAGGAGGGAGAAGTGGATGGTCCATGCCTGAGAGTTGATATGAGGTACTTGGTGAGGGAACCTTTGCCTTACAGAGGTGGTCCTAGGTCTGTCTCTTGTCAGGGTTGGGTTGTAGACATAACCCTAATTGTGGTTCCAAGGGATGGCTTCACTACCTGCTCAGTGTTCCTTCTCAGAGGAAGGGCTCATCCTGCAAGGGATCAAGGCCCTGCAGTGGGTCCCTGCTTTGTCCTTGCCTCTGGACACAGCAGTGAGTGGGGAGAGGAGGTGTGACTGGGCAACTGTGTTTTATGGAGGTCTGATAAGGCTTTGCTATTTTGAGACAGCTGCCCCGTCCTGCACAGATCCTTCAAGCTGACCTTTGCTACAGCAGAAGGCACCCTTCTCGGCAGTAAAGCTTGCTAGCTTTTGTAGCACAAAGTCTGTTCTCTACTGTGTTCTCATTTGTAAGATTCTTGTTCAGTTACAGATGCCAATGTCAAGCTGCAAGTAAAAAGGAGCCCATGCTGGGTTTCCTTTTTGTTTTTTGTCTGTTTTTAGCAACATCTTCCTACTGGAAGAAATGCATGTACAGATATAAAAGTCTAGAGGGTGAATATTTCTGTAATAAAGACTTTGCTAAAAAAAAATCCATACCTTTGCCTGTGACTTGTGCATTGCAGTGGTTTCCCCTCGCTTCCTCTCCACCCCTTTCTGCTTTGCGAGCAAATCACTGACACCTTGTTTGTTGGGAGCAAAGGGGCCTGTCAAAAGCTGTTTGAAGCCCATGCGTGAGATGTCTGGACTGCTAAGATCTGCCCAGCAGACAGAGGTGACCATTTTCCTTGGTTATGTTCTATAGTAAACTTTGCCTTGTTTTATGGAATTTATCTGTCCTAGGGTGAGCTGTGTGCTAGTTCCTTTGTATTACCTGCTGTCTCCTAAGCTAAGTGATCTCTGTTTGAGTGCTTTATACAGTTCTGGTGTCCTCAATGTAAGAAGGACATGGAGCTGTTGGAGCAGGTCCAGAGGAGGCCACGAGGATGATCAGGGGACTGGAGCACCTCCTGTATGAAGACAGGCTGAGGAAGTTGGGGCTGTTCAGCCTGGAGAAGAGAAGCCTTGTGGAGACCCCAGAGCAGCCTTCCAGTATCTGAAGGGGGCCTATAGGGATCTGGGGAGGGACTTTTCATTAGGGACTGTAGTGACAGGACAAGGGGTAATGGGTTCAAACTTAAACAGGGGAAGTTTAGATTGGATATAAGGAAGAAGTTCTTTCCTGTGAGGGTGGTGAGGCACTGGAATGGGTTGCCCAGGGAGGTTGTGAATGCTCCATCCCTGGCAGTGTACAAGGCCAGGTTGGACAGAGCCTTGGGTGCCATGGTTTAGTGTGAGGTGTCCCTGCCCATGGCAGGGGGGTTGGCACTGGATGATCTTAAGGTCTTTTCAAGCCCAAACCATTCTATGTTGCTTCAAATCTCTACAGACTATATGAAGACATGAGCCTCGGGGACTAACTGACAAAACATAAACTTGCTGCTGCGCCCATGGTACATACAGGAATTGTTAAATCAGCTTTATCATTTTTCCTCTTCCTGCTCACCCTCAGGAGGCTCCTGCCTGCAGGCTGCTATTTTTATAGGAGGTTCTCTGCCACTGTGAGAATGAAGAAAGCTGAAGTAGCCATTTTTGTAGGTTATGCCACCACATATGGGCTTGACTGTTTGGAAAGCTCTTGAGAAGTGAATAGAGCAAGAATTCCTTCAGATCCTGCCTGTTGTGGTGTTTCTGACCATTTAGAGTTCTTAGAAGTACCTACATTAGTGTCCTAATGGAGCTGTTGCTTTAGGAAGTAAGCATGACAGAAATCCTCACACATGTTTGAAGCAGCAGAGTGAAGCTTGTGGAGAAGAAGGTACTGGGGTGCTACCACCAAACGGTGGCAACTGGTCTAAAGTCAAGACTTCAGTTACTCTGACCCAGGTGAGTGAGGAGCAAGAGGTGCTTAAATGCATCCTGGACCCACAATAGGGTGAAGTGATCTGTCTGATCTGTGAGTGCAACTTGTTCCTTTAGGATGTGCTAGAGGAGAGCTTGGTTCTTGTTCATATGGACTCTCTCCTCCTTTATGGCTAGGTTCCCACAATGGCAATGCTTTTGCAGGCCTCATCATATAAAGGACTGTGCTTCACGACAAAGCTGCCAAGCCTGACCAGATGGATGCTAGGTGAGGAATGCACTCCTGGTTCCCCTTCGGCCTGATGTGGAGCTGGAAGGAGAAAGGAAGGAAGGGGAAGACTGCTGCTGGTCCCCTGTGTGGGTCCCCAGCTGCTCAATGGAAACCACTTGCCTTTGGCCACTGGAGGGAGGTGTTCAACCAAGAAAACTCGGTCCTGGTGCTTGCTCTATCAGCAGCATCGCCTGGTCCCTGCGGGGCAAGATGATGACACTGATGGCTTCCTTCTGCTCTTAGTTACTCCTGGCAGCAGGGTAGCTAAAATCACTTGTAATTACAAAATGTATTCTCCTTGTAAACGATTTGTGCTGCATGCTTGGCATTTTCAGGGGTAATTTTCCCTTCCATTCCTTGGAGCAGCACGCAGTTGGATATTTGATTGCATGTTTTCCCACTACTGTATATGGGTTGTGCTTGTTTCTCAGGTTTCTGCCCTAAGTAGTTCTGGGAGTTGAAGACAGCATGAGGAGTTTCTCCTGCTGCTTCTTTCCTTAGAGAATCATAGAACGGTTTGGGTTGGAGGAGACCTTTAAGATCATATAGTTCTAACCCCCCTCTTTTCCCTGTTTCCCTGCATCATCAGTTCTGTTGTATGGGGGGAAATAGGGGGCATTTGATGCTTCTGAACCTGATCTAAGAAAGGACTCCAGGAAGAAAGAAAGCTCTCAGCAATTCAGAGAGCAAGAAACCTGCTCCTTGTGCCAGGCTCCCAGCTCATCTCGGTAAAGGCTTGCTGCTGGAGCCAGGAATCAGAACAGCGCTCAGACTTCTTGGGAAGTCAGTGTTTGTCTAGCAAAACCCACAGCGCCAGCCTCTGCAGTAGCTCAGCACATGGAAGCATTTTGTGTGTAACCAGTGAGCTGCTCCATAGCTGTCCCAGGCCAGTCATTACTATTGCAACAGTATGGTTGTGACCTCCCTGTGGCCTGAAGCGAGGCCCCTGCTGATGAACTGGTGATGTTCCTCATTCAGTGTGCTCATGAGGAGCTCAGAAACTGCTTTAATTCTTCCCATGAGGTGTTTCTTTCCCTTCTGGAATTACATCAGTTAGAGTGGGTATGTGTAAGTTGCAGCGCATCCTCATAGTTCCTGCATGGCACAGGGAGGCTGCTCTTTTCTCTGTATCTCCAATGTGCGGTGGTGTGGCTCAGGAACTGGGTGAACCTCAGCTCATTTCTGGCTGCTGAAGGAGGGATTGCAAGTGGTGGTGTCTGACTGCATGGCTTGGTTGGGGAAGGTGAGGGAGAGCAGCCACAGGGACTCATTGCTGAAAAGCCTGAGGACTTTGGGATTCCCACAAATGCCTTTTTCACAGCCAGCTGCTGCCACTCAGTGCCATAAATGGAGAACATACCCTCAATTATTCATGGTCTGGCTCTAACCCATTAGCCTCTGAGACTCTTGGCTCTGGTCTTGGCCTTCTATTACAGAGGATGAAGCTCAGTTAGCAGCCAGGATTTCTCAATGGCATCTTAAGCCAGGTTGACATAAATTGTCAGTGTAAAATCTACTAACATGGAAGTCTCCAAATACTGGCGAGCTGGCAAAAGGTCCTTAGCAAAAACTATGCCATTAGTGAGCCAAAGCTATTAGTAATACAGTGCTGCTAGTACCAAGGATGCTCTAACCATCAGAAACAGCTTCTAGCAGGCGTGTGCTGGGAGAGCACATCATTCCTTGCCTTGTGGCGAGAATCTCCTCTGCCAAACATAGGAAATTACCTTCTCCTAAGTAAATTGTGTAACCCTGCCCCTACATTCCTTCTCATAGGTACGAATTGTCAGGTTCTAATAGTGCAATTGGCTCATTCCTTCTCATAGGTATGAATTGTCAGGCTTTAATAGTACAATTGGCTCTGCTGTGTGTGCTGCTTGGTTTCTGTGGGAAGGGATTAGGGGAATACTAGATGCTCTGTATCTGGGGAAAAGGTATTCTCAGTTCTCCAGGCAAAGGTATTATCCCCATTTAAAATAGGCTTCAGGTAGTATGTGGATGTTCTAAGATGCATGGAATCCGAGAGGGAAAATCCTGCTTTAGCCCCCAAGGATGGTCTTTGCACACACTTGACTTAAATTTCTCTGTGGTGTCTTCTTTCCTATAGCTTTCTCATTGACAAAAGGCACCACAAGGTGACTGGTCTGTCCACAGCAATGCAGAGCTAACAGGAACCTACTTCTGTAACCACAATAGGCCCTGTCTCTAGGAAACTGCAGAGCATTTCCCTTCCCTCCTATAGCCTCCAGATGTTAGTAAGCCCCATGCCTTCACAATGGCGCTTTGAGCAGTGACAGCAGCTCAGGGATTACCTTGATGTTGCTCTTTGTTCTGGAAGTGTTCACCAGGTTATGGCTGTTGGTTTACACCGATGTGAGGCCATCGTGTTGCTGCTTCAGACATGTATCAGATCTACACCTCCCTCAGGACCCCACATCCCCATCGTGCCACCATAGTGGCAGACCTGTGGCCCTTTCCAGCATTACCTACCTACAACTAAGCCTTCTCCATGTTGTTTCTTCTCATCCAAGCAATTTCCCTGGAATTCTGCTGTTCTTTCTGAGTGTGGCTTCCTGGCATCAGGTGCCTTAACTCCAAACCCACACCTGTGACAGTGCTGGAGATAGAGGAATATGCATCAGACTAACTTTTCCTTCTTTTTGCCCTGCTTAACAGTACAGACTGGACATATGGAAGTTCTTCAGAGACAGCAAGGATCCCAGAGCATGTGATCATCCCAACTGCTTACCCTGCATGCTTCCTGGGTATTTTCTACATAGCACTTCTGGAAGCCATTTAGGATTTACTAGGGTGGAAATGTGAGGTCCTGTCAAGAGCATGTTACAGCACAAGCATGTGCTTTGGGCACTGGACTTGCAAAATGATGTCAGAACAGTGTAACTCATGCAGTGATGTCTGCAGACAGCCTGGAACAATAACACAGCAGAGAGCAGACCTTTCGTTTTGGCAGAGGTTGTTTCACGATGTGTTGGAAATGGGGCTGTCCTTTTAATGCCATGTTGTAATTAACTCTGGTTAGCACTGGCTGGGAATTCTTTTGGCAGCACAGTTTTTTTCCCTAGAGGGGGTAGGTTCCTATAAAACAAAGTGAGTTTTGTTTATGGGTTTTTTTTTTTTTCCTTCTGCTTAAACAGGACTGAAAATAACTTCTGATGGAGGGGCTCCTTCTGCTTTCTTACTGGCTGCCTCAGAGTAAACATTATGCGAAAGACCTGGAATTGGGCAAAATAGGATTGTAAACCCATGTTTTAAACACATGAACTAACACCGGGGTGTATTGCTCTTCTGAGGTGGGATAGACTGGGGAGATGAGTGCAGTTTTAACATGTAGATAGTCAAGAGTGCTGTGCAAGATGCTGCCAACATGATGTGTTCAAAGAGGGATTGGACAAGATCATGGAGACAAAAACGTCCATGGAGGGCTATTAAATAGGGGTAGATGCAATGTCTGCTTGGGGAAGTCGTCTTTAATACTGTACCCTCTGTACCTGGTCCATGGAGTTTGGAAGGAAGCGGTGTTAGGCTTTGAAAACCATGGATATAGCTGGGAAATTCCAGCCTGAAGTGAAATCTTGACGGGAAATCCCACCTGAGTTAATCCCAGCTGCATGTGGCACTGTTCGAGTTGTTCCCACTGCAGGAGTTGAATTGGATGTTTGCTTGGCTGGGGAAGGGAGCTCTGGTGAAACCAAACCTGAAATCATAGAGTCACAGAATAGTTAGGGTTGGAAAGGACCTTAAGATCATCCAGTTCCAACCCCCCTGCCATGGGCAGGGACACCTCACACTAAACCATGGCACCCAAGGCTCTGTCCAAGCTGGCCTTGAACACCACCAGGGATGGAGCATTCACAACCTCCCTGGGCAACCCATTCCAGTGCCTCAGCACCCTTACAGTAAAGAACTTCTTCCTTATATCCAATCTAAACTTCCCCTGTTTAAGTTTGAACCCCTTACCCCTTGTCCTATCACTACAGTCCCTAATGAAGAGTCCCTCCCCAGCATCCCTATAGCCCCCCTTCAGATACTGGAAGGCTGCTATGAGGTCTCCACGCAGCCTTCTCTTCTCCAGGCTGAGCAGCCCCAACTTCCTCAGCCTGTCTTCATACAGGAGGTGCTCCAGTCCCCTGATCATCCTTGTGGCCTCCTCTGGACTTGTTCCAACAGCTCCATGTCTTTATGTTGAGGACACCAGAACTGCACACAATACCCCAAGTGAGGTCTCAATAGGTGATACTTGAGTGTTATGATGGGGATTTAAATACACAAATATCATATTGCTGTTCTTTTGGATTTGGTTCAGGTTTTCTTTTGATGCCCCTAGAAGTAACTTCTCCAAGCAGTGTGTAAAACGAGTAACTGGTACAACTGCATTGTAAGCCACCAACAAGACTGCACTTCAGTGACTCTTCAGAGCAACATCACAGCAACGTGTGCATCTGACACGCTGATGACGGTGTTCCATCGGTTCAGATTTACAGGGTTTGTGGGTTTTGTTGCTTGGGGATTTTTTGGGGGTCTTGCTTTGTTCTTAAGTGGCAATGTGTCAGCGTATGAGTCTGTGTAAGTGAGGTGGTGCGGAAGCATCTGGGAGCTTCTGCAAAGTGGGGCAGCAGTGGGAGGGAGTGGTCTTGGCACATGGTCTGGAGTTGAGGGATGTGTCTGGAGCAGAAGGAGGCACCATGGGGTTTGCCCTGACAAGACTAAGCTGGAGCAGAGGGCAGGTCCCCTATAGTGAGCAGGGTGGGAATCACCAAATGGTCTGTGTTGGAAGGGACCTTAAAGCTCATCCAGTTCCAACCCCCTGCTTGCTGGCCTGGAGTTCCCAATAAGACTAAGCTCCTTTCTAAATAGTAATTCAGATTTACAAGGGCAAATGGCTGTGGCTAAATCCCCTTCGTTTGCATCACACATGAGGAAGAAATTCTTCACTATGAGGGTGAAAGTTGCCCAGAGAAGCTGTGGCTGCCCCATCCCTGGCAGTGTTCAAGGCCAGGTTGGACACAGGGGCTTGGAGCAAGCTGCTCTAGTGGAAGGTGTCCCTGCCCATGGCAGGGGTTGGAACTGGATGGGCTTTAAGGTCCCTTCCAACCCAAACCATTCTGGGATCCTATGGAAGAGCTGCTCTCAGGCCCACGAGGCAGGCAGGGTGACAGGAGGTTGCATTTCAGCTGTCAAGGTTTGCCACATCAGCTCTCCCCAGTGGTGTGAGAGCGATGGACGCAACTCCCATACCTGAGCGGGAGCGCTCCGGTGTATGGCTGCTGTTGTGCAGACAGCAAGCAGGGAATACAGAAACCACAGCACCTTCATCCTTAAGCGACTGCTGCCTTTCCCATTAATCTCAGGATCAGCTTGAAACCAGTTGTTTATAAAACAGTCCACTGGGTTGCCAGAGTTGCCTTTCGAGTCCTTCCAAGCATTGGCAGGCTGACGATTGCCTTATACAATCTCACCACAGATGTTATGAAAACCACCTCCTGCAACACCCCTGTTTAAACGTTCTTTCTCACGCCTGCTGGCTCTTCCTAAAGCCCCCAGCAGCTCCTGCTTTGGCTGGTAAACTACCAAAGCTTCATAGGAAAGTTTGCCTGTGCTGTGGGCTGCAGGGTGCTGGTTGCAAAGAACCCCTTTGCAATGGTGAGCTGTGAGTGAAGGGAGATGCCCTAACAGAGATCAAGGCTTCAGAGTCGGGGATTTGGGAGCTATCTCTTGTTTTCTCTTTGATTTCCCTCAACATCCCAGTGATCATTAGTGAGGAGCTTGCACTTTGTTAGCAAAGAAGCCGGTTACACCAGCTTTTATACTACGAGAAGATGCAGAGAGCACATCGCTGATCAGATGCCTATCATAAAGTTGGCAGTTTCATGCCTGGCTATAGTGGAAGCTAATTAGGCTGTCTCATCTGAAGAAGGCAACAGCATGAGTACATTGTCTTCCTAGTAGGCAATGATCTTGCCTGACATAAAATGAGATGTCTGGCAATTCTTGTAATTGCATACAGCTATTTATTTTCACCACAGCGAGGTTGTCTCAACTTTAATAGGCAGCAAAATGGTAATGAGGTCTTGAATTCATCACAAGCCATGCTGAGGACTCCTGTGCTTCAATAGCAAAGAGGAGGGTAGAGCAGGAGTAGGGGAGGAAGCAGTCTCTTTGTCTTTACCCTGAAATCAGCTTGGTAGGAAAGGGTAGTCTGGTAGGTCCTGTCTTAACGGTGAAATCTCTAGGATAATCCATTCTCATTTAACCATTTATTCTCCCAAACTAAGATAACATCCATCATGAGCTCTTGCTAGTGCCACCAGGACCTTGTGAGAGCATTGCAGGACTGCCAGCCGTTCCGTGCCATGTAAATGCCATGTCTTTAACGTGTCCATCCCAGCCTACACTGTGTGAGTTCATGCTGGAATTCAACATTAAAACTAGCTAACCGCTGTCTGCAGGGAGAGGGCGACAGCTGAGGATGGTTTTGGTTTATAACATGCAGAGGTGTTTCACATAAGGATAAGAACCTAGGACTAGGACTGTGAGAGTATGGCATGGTTCATAAGAGGCTTGTAGAGGGGACCGGTGGGGCACGCTGTGTTAGGTCTAGGGTTATCCAGGATTTAGGCAGGAAGCTTTTGAGGAGCAGTGTACAGTAATGCAGAGTTAGGTACAAGAACAGTGAGGGTTGGGGCAAAAATCATTAGAGCTGGATTTTTCCCAGGGCTCAGGAATGGTTGAAGGCGGGTGTTGATAGGATTCCTTGGCTTCAGTAACATCTTTTCATGGGAATGAAATGAGACATGAGTTAAGAATGAAGGATGCGTAGCTGTGTGAGGAGGTTCTGGTTAAGGAAGGCTTCTGGCACTGAAATTCTTATTGATATATGGCTAAATTTCGGGTTAGCTTTGGGATGGGAAAGGTTTCATGGTTTAACCCCAGCTGGCAACGAAGCACCACAAAGACCTGCTCACTGTGTCGGGATGGGGGAGAGAACTGTAAGGGAACAGTAAGACTGAGAAAACCCATCTGTTGAGATAAACAGTTTAATAGGTAAAGCAAAAGCCATGCGTGCAAGCAAAGCAAACCAAGGAATTCACTCACCACTTCCCATGGGGAGGCAGCTGTTAAAGCCATCTCCAGGAGAGCAGGGCTCCATCATGTGTAATTGTTGCTTGGGAAGACGAATGCCATCACCCCAAGCATCCCCCTTTTCCTTCTTCTTCCCCCAGCTTTACATGCTGAACAAGGCACCTTATGGTGTGGAATATCCCTTGGGTCAGTTGGGTCCTGGCTGTGCCTCTTCCCACCCTCTTGTGCACCCCCAGGCTCCTCTCAGAGTTATTTCAAGACTAACTGCTGAGACCCTATGTCTTCTAAATAACACCACTGAATGCTGCTGTTTCCTTGTTCTACTTCTGCAGGCCATGAGGCACTGGAATGGGTTGCCAAAAGAAGTTGTGAGTGCTCCATCCCTGGAGATGTTCAAGGCCAGGTCGGACAGAGCCTTGGGTGAGATGGTTTAGTGTGAGGTGTCCCTGCCCATGGCAGGGGGGTTGGAACTGAATGTTCTTAAGGTCCTTTCCAACCGAAACCATTCTATGGTTCTATGGTAAGAATTGGTCATGTCCTGTCCTTTTCCTAAAGCAAAGCCTAACCCCAGCTATACCTCTAGTGTTTAAGGTAGCTCGATGTTCCAGCCTCAGCCACATGTAAAGCACAGCCCTAGGAGCCTTAGCTGCGATAGTTCTTGTGTAAATTTCTGGGATCCATCATCAAAAGGAGCTCCCAGTTATTTGTTCTCTGTAATCCTAACTCTAATCAAAGGCTGCTGAGGCACTGTGTCCCTGAAAGCAATCATGGCTTGGAAGAGCCTTCTGGCATGCAGTCCCAGCTTTCTGTTGGAAACCTACATATAGGAGACAGACTGAAATGCTTTGATTCTTGTATTATGGGAAAAAGAAGCATAAATCCAACCTTAGCACTGAAATTGGCCTCCCTGCAAGCTCAGCAGGAGCCACTGGGGCTCGGCCATAACATCCTCATTCTGCCTGGAACCTTCTAGTATTGCAGGAAAAGCCGTTTATTACTACCTCCTAATGCTAGTCTAAACTGTGGTGTGCTAAAGGCCAATGGTCTTCAAGTGATGGTAGTTCCTAGGATGTCACTGATGTCTACCCTTTGAGATATGTCTGTGAATGCAACTTGGTGTTGAGTAATTTTACTCCTAACTCTATCTTTCAGTGAGAGCACAGAGTCATAAGGCTGTGGGACTTTAAAGGGAGCTGCTTGGTGTGTTGGTACCAGAGCCAAGGCCAGGATTTGGGCTGTGATTAAGATGTATTGTTCTGTTCTGCCTTCCCTTGCATACAAGGCAAGAACAAGGGCTAGTTCCAAGAAGGGCCAATGGATGTTTAAGTTCCAGTCAGGAGTTTGAGGTAAGGTTTGGGTAGCACGGGGAGAGCTGAGGAATAAAAGGGGTTTAGTGATAATTCATAGAATAGAATCACAGAATGGTTTGGGTTGATAAGGACCACAAGATCATCTAATTCCAACCTCCTGCCATGGGTAGGAATACCTCACATTAGACCAGGTTGCCCAAGGCTCTGTCCAGCCTGGCTTTGAACACTTGAGCACAGGGATGGAGCGTTTACCACTTCTTTGGGCAACCTGTCATTCAGGGGTTTGTAATATTAAGAGAAAGGCTGGTAAAGGTTTTGGCAAATGCATGAGGCTTAATGTGGGAAGTGATTCCTGGACTAGGTTTAAAACTGAGATGAAGAAAGAATGATTAGGGTTGGACTTATCAGTGAGCTCTGTAGGATGTGGTGTTCAGATGATGACTTGGACCAGAGCTGCCCTTGAGAGGACAGCCAGCAGTATAGAGTCCTCACGAGACCTTCTTTGTGCTGCCATGAGCTTGAATATTCCCTTTCCAAACTTCATAGTATTCATTTCCAGAAGGACCAAGATCTCAACGGAGTACTGCCCTTTTACCACCTCATCCTAGAATCCCTCACATTTCTCATCCCATATTTAACTACTAAAGAGCCTTTCCTGCCTGCTTCTGCATGATTCCCATGAAAAACCAGAGCAAAGCTTGCCGTGACCGAAGTTTCCACCTCAGCCTCCAG